CATGGATGAAGCAGAAGTCGTTACGTCACATCCCCATCTACCCGATCCAGGACAACGAGCTGTCTCCGAGGTATGAACCCATGTCCCGACCGCCCACGACCGTGCCTGACGACGCTGCTTCCACCGCTTCCACTGTGTCCACCACCTCGCTCTCTTCTACTACCTCAGACGTCTCTAGCACAACAACCGACTCGGGCTATGGACGAGGTATGACAGACACAGACGGGGAACCTTCCCGCCTCTCCGATGACGTGTCACATTCCACAGAGTCTGGCGTCAGACCCGGACGAACAGACACCCGTAAACCTAACCGTGAGGTCACTAACGGTCAAAACACGTCATCTATTGGCTCGAGAGTTTCCACGAATCTGGCGGAGAAAAAAAGGGAACTTTTGCGATCCAGGGTCTCTAAATCGCCCGTAGACAATGTAGGAAGGACTTCACGCGAAGTTGTCGCTCCTACCTCCACTCTCTCCTCAGATTCTGGCTTCTCGGAGAAGACCGAGGGTGTAGCTGAAGTCAGGGAAGATTCTCGGACACACAAGATGAACGGGAGCCAGGCCGAGGGGTCAGAGGGAAAGCCTTCCCTGGTACCGGCGGTCAGTCCCGACAACGCCAGGAACGGTCAGTTGAGTGACGTCAGACCCAGGGGCTCGGCAGACGATGTGGCCAGTAGGCTCAAGTCTCGCTTCTCGGCCTTGGACAGTTCCAGACGAGAGTTCATCCAGGCTAACGAGTTTGGCGGGAAGCGGGCCCAGAGCCCTGCCAGACAGATAAAGGAGGTGGGAGCAGATGATGGTGGTGAATCCCATAAGGTGAGGAATTTGGAGAAAGTGGAAAGTGATGCCACCATGTCTGGGGTTGGGGAAGCCACGAGGAACAAGGACTCGCCTCTTGCGGGTGACAAAATCACAGCTGGCCCGACCTCCTTAACCCACGACCTTCCAGGAGAGGCTGTGTGCTCGAAGGATGATGGTGATAGAGATTATGATGGCATCGATGAGGTCAACGAGAAGGTCACAGATGACGTAGGTAGGTCAAAGGTTGATCAGAACAGCGACAACCTTGACCCGGAGAGACAGAGAGGCCGGGCGGGAGAGTCAGAGAGAGGTCGGCCTTCAGTGGACCCGCTGGCCCAGAGAGCCTCTCAGGCTAAGCGTCCGGTTGACCTTGACATTTCGACCAGGAAAAGCTCAAGGTCGCGACTGAAGGTCGATTCTGAACTCCCGCAGCCCGCCTCGGGTGGTGTAGAAGTTAGTGACGACGGACTGAGGCCCAGGAGGACTAGGGGTCGTCTCGGTGAAATTTCCTCGTCGGAGCAGATGACGGAGGTCACGGATAAGGTCAAGGTCACTGCCTCAGAGGTCGCCCCTCGCTTCTCGTGCCCGCTGCAGGATGTGAGCGTCATGTACGGATCCCGAGCCACATTGCAGTGTCGAGTGGAGGGTTACCCCACGCCAGAGCTGGACTGGCTGCTGGGCCAGACATCTGTGAAGGTGAGTTTGTTTGCACGTGAGACTGTGTGTACCTGTGTTCTTTGGCTTGTTCATCGATATCGATGATGAATGAAGCAGTAAGTGGGTTGTTGGCGGGTGTTTTAGTATGGTCTGCTCCTTCTTTCCTGTCAAAACAACTATCGCCCTTATCTCTCTCCTTCTTATTTTCTTTGTATGTTACTCTCTAGTAACACCTCTAATCTTTGTCACTTGTATGACCTATGTGTGTTACAAGTGCTGTAAAACTTGTCGTAAAACTAAAACTAAAACAGTATGTATTTACAGCTTTGCCTGGGCGGTAGACATAGAGGATGTAGGTAGGTTGCCTAAGTGCTGCTTCCTTCCCTTAAGATCTGGACTTCCAACAAAAGAGAAACATTGTGTGGGTGGTTGGCGGGTGCTCTGGCATGGTTTGCTCCTTCTTTCCTATCAAACATCTATCGTCCTGATCTCTCCTCCTTCTTTTTTGTGTTTATTACTCTCTTGTAACACCTCTATTCTTCGGCACTTGTATGACCTTATTGTGTTGCAGTGCCGTAAAAACTCTTACTAATTTTTTTTTTAATTTAGAGACTTGGTCAGTCAGTTTGAAATCCAGGAAGGTGTAAGGGTGTGTCTTGCTTGTATTTACAGGTAGGTGTGGTTGGGATTCCTTTTACCTGTGTTATGGGGCGTGGATTTTACCTGAATTAAAATTGTAGATGAG